CCCTAACCCTAACCCTAACCCTAACCCTAACCCTAACCCTAACCCTAACCCTAACCCTTTTGTTGTACATGTCCATAGATGGAGACCCTCAACAGGCATTCTCTATTTGTCTGAACTGGGTAGACAGACTTTATCTGGAAAAGGCAGTTTTATAGATATGCAAGCTATAAGCAATATAGGGCTTTATAGGTGATAACCAGCTTCTTGAACTACACATCTCCCATATATCATTTCTTGTCCTGAGAGCTGTCTAGTCTTGAAGTAATAGGCTAAGTTTACATATCATGATGGCATGGCATACGATTGTTGAATTAAACATTCTTGCCTAATGTGCTAAGCCATAAATTTACAAACTACAGTGTACAAACTCATATAGATTACTATCCCAAAATCAAAGACACCATAATATAGTTTAATGTACTTCATTTATAGTCTTTAGAGTTATATATAGTTGAACCATGTGAAGACCCACTGAATTACAAATACCAAGACTGTCTTATTTTCAATCCCTTGGCTTTTTGGGGCATGAAAACATGGGTTCCAGTTGAGCTATACCCAAGCTCTACCATCTTTCTGAGCTATGATGTGTTCCTTTGTCCTTTGAGATGTCTTCAGTCCTGACATCTGGGTTCGCTTCTTCACTGTGACCTCCTGATGCAACTCTTCTTTCCTGGGTCACCCATAATTCAGGCCTATGCATTTTATAATACAGTTGACTAAATCAGCACGTGCCTAATAAACATTCATATGTTTCTCAGTGACCTTCTGAAAAGCAAAACTTTGGTCTGCACACTCCCTACCCAGCATAAAGCTCCACCCTCTTTCCAAATTTTGTTCATGGTCCCTTCTACACTTTCAATCAGAATTCTTCCAAACACAGGCGTGTTTAACAAACCAATTTTCTGTGAATTCACTCTTGGAACAATAATAGCATTCTTTCAGTCATCAGACATAGATTCAATCTTCATACATCCAGTAAGCTAGTTGCATAGCCACTCCATAAGCGATTCCAATTCACATGCATATTTCAACATTTCTCTGGTTATACCATCTAAACCAGCAGCCTTACAATTTTTCAACATTCTAACAGCAGTTGTTATTTCCTTTTCATCATCTTTTTCTTGGACATTAACCTATATAGTATTTATTTCAATTACACTTTTCCATGCAACACTATCACTCACATACATATCACTAAAATATTCCTCCCAGCCTTTCCTCACTACAGTTTCACCCTAAATCATTTCATTAGGGATGCGATTTCTACAGAATCTACTTTCTGCACAGAGCTAATTTTATCTTTCACCATCTGATTAGCACGATTGAATGCCAGTTTAGCATGCACATCCACAAGGTGCAAAGGGATATTTTTGTTCTAAAAGTTGAACATTATATAATTCTAGGAATTTGGGAAGGGGGCATACCTTTACTTTGCAAGGAGAATATACCAAATTCAACATCTAGTTTCTTCTGGTAGAGCTGGAAAATTTTCTGGTTAAAACCATGTAGAAAGATTGCTAATCCGTGTCAATAGCATTATTTATTTATTTGTTTTATTTATATCACAATTTCAGAAACTCAAGGTGGCATATAAAGCATTCCTTCTTCCAATTTTTCCACAACTCTGTGACATAGTCGGAGTAGTCCAAAGTCACCTACTGAGTTGTATATTTTACATAAAATATACTGTATGCATATTGTCTCTCTTCTGGACAAGGAAATAGGCAATACCACCTGCTTTAAAAAAAACAGAAAAACTTTTCTAGTTTTAAAACTACAAATTTCAACTTTTAGATATCAGTATTCCTGAAGCATAAATATGTGAAAACTGGCATGCGTCGTTATTATTATTATTAGTAGTAGTAGTAGTATTTGTTATTAGTATTATTATTATGATGACTTCAGAGTAATACATGGATTTTTAAAAAGTAGTTTAGATCAGTATACCAGGAAGGATTCCAAAGGGGAGAAAGTAACTTTAATTGCATTGGATTTTCTTTCCAGCATTTCTGCATTAACAAAGCATGTTCTTTTGCAGTCTGTGATGTGAAATGGAACACTGCTGTTCAAATGCATAGGTAATTCCAGATATTCTTTCAGACTTGGTGGTCCAGATCATTAATTAATTAACCAAGATACCTTTAAACCCTTTGAACCCTTGTCACTGTCCCACTTTTTCATGCCAGCTGGATTCCAATATATTTGCTATCTCATTTAGTTCAAATTTGGATGCTATATTTGTGGTGTTTGAAACAAACTAGCATATTGATTTCTTTTCAAACTGGATTTGAATATCCCATATAGTTTAATGCCATAGTTTCCAAACTTATGAGTGTAGTTTCCTGGTTCTGCTGAAATTGGAAGCTGTGGTCAGGGGTTTAATGGCTTAAATGCTTGTGCATCAGCAAAATGGTGTTGCATATCTTAATTAAGCCAAGATATGTTAAGTTAAATGCAAGACCTGTCAGCAGTATTGTGATCAGATTCATACATTATGCTAAATTATGGCTTGCTTACTGAATAAAGTACACATGGCTAGAGTCACACAACTTGCTAATCTATAGATACACTTAAGATGTTTGGGGCAGTGAGGGCTTCAAGCTGGGTAGGACCATAGCACATATGTGAACAAGAATTAGTATTTGGAAGTTTTCTTTCATTTCTGTTTTAGGCCTACAATTCATTTATGCTCTGCTTCAAAATAGCAGGAGTGTGGTTGTTTTTCAGCAACTGTGGCCAGAGGAGCCTCCAAGGATCAGGAAAAGGGGACTCAAGAGCCTCATGAGGTCCTGGGGCTACAGATTGCCAGCCACCATGGTTAATAGATTCAGTGGCTAGGTTAAATCAAAATCAGACAAACCACAGAATGAGTTAGCTATCTACAGTATGTGAATTCACAGAAGTCTTTTAGATATCAATAGAAATGGCAGGAAATATAAACTAAAAATAATATGTGAAAAAAAAGATCACGAGGTACATTTCTAAGAAGCGCTATATCCAGACAACTCCTTATCATGTGAGCTGTGAGAAATATTTGTGGCTGGGTTTTTCCTAATTTCTCCACTCCTCCTCCTTCCCATTGCAAACTAAACATCTTGTGTTTTTTGTTTTTTGTTTTGCTCCAGGTTGTAACTTCTATGCTTTTTGTGGAGCACTCTTTGGAATAACCTCAATGATGACCTTGTTAGCTATTTCAGTTGATCGCTACTGTGTGATTACTAAGCCTCTGCAGTCCATAAAAAGGAGTTCAAAGAAACGCTCATGTCTAATCATTATGTTTGTCTGGCTTTACTCACTGGGTTGGAGTGTGTGTCCATTATTTGGGTGGAGTATGTTATCAGTTTTCTTTCTTTTGCTCTTATACATACGCTGTATGTGTGCATGTGCATATACTCACTATATACACCAACTTTTTTCAAATAGTGTCCTCCAATTGTGTTGGACAACAGATCCCACTCTTTCCACCAGCATATTGACTGCATTTGTATATTAGTATATTTGCAGAGTATAAATCAGACCAATAAGATTGATCTGTATTTTATTTGTAAGATATTTTAGGTTTGAATTTATTATACATTTGATGAGTGTGTATATGTATGTATAGGTGTGCATATATATAGGTGTATATAGAAGGTGATAAGTGTATATAGGAAGTGTGCATACGTGCACTTATATACACACCATCTTGGAGAACACCTGCTAGAAAGTTAAGGCTACAGATTGCTCTCTTGGTATAATATTACAAGCAGCAGAGCTAACTTGATTTGATTTGATTTTACTCTGCTTTCCAAAAAGTTGTGGAACTGGGGATTCATTTATTTAGTTTGGAATAAAATCACCCACAGCAAATAAAAAATAAGATTTCATTAAGTTTGCAAGATCATGTCAACACAGAAGATTTTTAATATATTTTCCTTAATATGTGTGTTAAATGCAACTACTCAAATAATTTTAGCGTGGTAATCAAATAGAACAAAAAGGATTTTGTGACTTTGAAAGATCCAGACATATCATTTTTAGCAGCATTGTCGGCCATGCATTTGGGTATGGGTAAAGTTAAGTTATTCTCTCTGTTGGATGTTTTTACCAATTACTGTTGGCATTCTCCTACCTCCCACCCCAAAGGAGGGAACGTATTTTGCAAGAATTCAGAACAATATAGTTCAATTACATTATCTAGTAATATTACTAAAAACTGAATAGGGAAGAACTGACATCAAGGTTATCCTATGAGGGATTTAATGACTCGAGACTAATTCTAAGCAAATCTCTTGTTAGCAGACTGCTGAGTTTATCCAGAGCCTTATTAAATCTGTCTCTGTTTTTTCAGTATGAAAACATCTGGTTCTGGGTTAAATGAAGGGATTTGCTGCAATATCCCTGCTTTCTATAAACAGCAGCTAAGAAAGATTTACTTTCCTCTCCATTATAACTTGGGGCAATAGGAAAGCATCAAATGTTGGCTTTGCAGTGTAATTCCATACACAGGCTGGTCCAAGCATGCATGCATCAATGAGCCTGTTTGGCATCTTTTGAGCTATTCATAGCTCTGGTGTAACTCAGCAGAAGGTCTGCAAAGGTCTGCGTATACAATGTTATGTTAACAATCAGCCTTACAATTAGTAGAGCTGTACTAAAACATATGTTTTGATAAAATATATAATGTTTTGGTTGTAGATCAATTTAAACAAATGTATACAAAGCAATTAAATCTTATGGAAATCTTGGTTCTCATTTTCATTTATGTGGATATAGGAAAAAACAAAACAAAGCATTAACTAAAACTTAGGATTTATGATTCTGTTTAGAAGAAATATCTTAGGTGGAGAAACTTTAAAGTCCCATAATGAAAATGCCAGTAACTGGAACAACACATAGCTGAGCCTTCTTAATAGGAAAATATCAAATTTCCTTAGTGGTGAAAAATTGACTATATATGCTCTTTGCAAGAAAGAATAAGGCATGAACTTGAAAAACTTAAAACTATGCTTGGGAAGGACTGACAATTTTCTTACTGCTTTTTTATCATAGATTTACCCTTTAAAAGCTAAATTGATCTAAGTGATTGAGCACAGACCAACTTTAGACAATAAAATTCACATTTCCTTTTTCTAGAACAGACCTGAATCTACAGGAGGCCAAGGGTTTTCCATGTTCTAAAGAATCTAAAAAAATTCATGCAGGATATATCCCATTAGAGTGTGGGAGCTAAAACAATCCTACACTTAGAAGTTCCACTGAACTGAAATGACATATATATGATTTCACATCATTTATTTATGGCCAGATCATTCCTATACAGAATTGTGGAAGAATCCCCACTAACCCTTTAGGCTTAGAAAACCAATGGGGAAGTTTGCATTAGATTCAGTTTTTATTCCAGGTTTGCTGGCTTTTCAAAATTTTATTTTCCTTTGTGTCCAACGGAGGGGAAAACATCTCCACCAAGATGGTCAAACTGACTCTGTCCAGATATTACAGGTTTCGGCTCTCTTAAGCATAGCCAGTATAAGTAATAGCAAGGGAGTATGGCAATCAGGAGGGCACCTGGATCCCTACTGCAGAATGATACCAACTCTAAGGGTGGTGTGATATTTGTTTATGTTCCATGTAAGACTTTGGAACACTTCTCCATGAACACATCTCTTTTGCCATCAGAACAAAATCATGGAGGATTTTCACTGGAACACCTCTTTCTTTATATGTAGGGACTAACCCCAGATTACAGGATCTTGATCTTCATATCCTGCTTTTAAGTAGAAGTCCTTTCATGTGAGTTTGTAAATTAAAGAATAAAATAATATTAAAATAATATGCACAAATAAATCCTCATTAAAAAAAACCCCTCAAATCCAGTTTAAATTAGGCAAAATATTTTCAAAACAGATTTGAAAGCAAATGTATAAAGCCACTGGGAATGGAACTGCACGGCCGTAGGACCAGTTTGATCAAATGTCTGTTGATCGAAGGCTCTGTTGATCAAATGTCAAATGGCAGGCAAGAAGACAAACCCTTATAGACTCTATAGGTTATATATAAATTTAAATGCTCCTGTCTGAATTTTTTAGGTTTAAACATTTACAAACATAGAAGAATCTGAAGTGAAGTAAAAGAAATCCTTCTCTTTGTAGTTTTCTGAACATATTTTTCTATATCTAGTGATTCTATTTTTAGGACTAAAGTTGGAGGAACTTTCAGACCCACCTAAATTTTTGTCTAAAGGCTAGCATCCTTTAGATGAAATCCAAGACCTAGATATATTTTCTTAAGAGAAACTTCTCTCAATTTTACTTTTGAATGAGCACTTATAAGGTCAGCTTGCAGTAAAAATACCTCCAGATCTGTCCCTCCAGAAGCTTTGGACTACAACATTCCGAGCTATGATGACTGGGGTTGATGGGAATTGTAGCCAATGAGACTTGATGGCATTCTGGAATGTTAAACTTCATAGGGGAATAAATTACTTCATCTTTAAGGTTTAAAATTTAAAGATGAGATCAATACAACTACATCTGTAGAACAGTGTTGCTGTTTCCTTCTTAAATAACATTTTCCTACGTCTCTTATTAATTATTGTATGCACTATATAATAAAAATTTAATAAATTCTTAGGTTCCTATATCCCAGAAGGTCTGATGATATCTTGTACTTGGGACTATGTAACCTATTCTCCAGCAAACAGAAGTTACACCATGTTGCTATGTTGCTGTGTGTTCTTCATTCCACTGATAATAATCTTCCACTGCTATTTATGCATGTTTCTAGCCATAAGAAATACTGGCAGGTAAGCCTATCACTGAAAATATGATATTTATTAGGAAATCAAGTATATTCTCATTGATCATAAGCTGTAATGGTGCATTTAGAACTAGAGAGAGATTCATATTCTTACCAACTAAACATTCCTCCATTATCAGTTAAGATATCATCCTACTCATTGGTTCACAGAGGAGCCATGAGTAAGTGACTGAGAAGGTCCCTGCCATAGGAACTTAGGAGATAAAATTAAATTCTAAAGTGGCAAAACAATCCAGAGTCTAAAAGTTGGTCAAACAAAATCTATCAGCTGAAAGTTTATATCACCAGAGATAAAAAATCAGACAGTATGATTCTGTATGGTCTCAGTTTAATTTGTTGTTTAAAAATTGAATGTAATGGTTTGTATAAATATGACTTTGGTTAGTTTTGGTACATTAGAGAAGTGCAGAAATGCTTATTGTATTGAATCATTACATAGCATTCTGATTTTTTGTTTTTTGTTTTTTGGTATTTTACTGATTTCTTTTTCCTGTGCTTTCCTTTTTATTTCTTTCTAATTTTATAGTTTAGTTTTCTTTTACCATGGTTCTTTTGAATAGTTTAAATTAAAATGTATACATTTTGTATTCCATTGTTATCACTGGTACTATTTAAATAAAACTGAATACAAATTATAAAAGGATTTTTAAAAACCCCATTGTTGATAGGCTTTATCCCAGCCGGCACACTATTTCATGAAACCTGGGCACAGTATCTTTTAAGGAGCACCCAGCATCTTTCAGCTCCTTATGAGGTGTTCACCAGTATCATAAATATTGGGTTGGAAAGCTATCTTTGCCATCATTTATCTTATCCTCAAGACTTCCTGGCATCACTTCTTGAGCAGATATACTGGTTTGAATATAGTCTGCCCATTCCACCAAGGAAAAAAAGTTCAAACAGTGATACTAGGTGACTGATGCCTGGTGTGGCAGAATGAATTCTTAATCACTGGGCATGCTGTTTTCTCATTCTTTCACAGGAATGTTCAGAAATTAGGATCCAGCTATAAACGGAAACATTCAGCCTCACAGAACATAAAAAGTGAATGGAAACTGGCAAAAATTGCCTTTGTAGCCATTGTGGTTTATGTTGTATCCTGGTCTCCATATGCTTGTGTTACCTTGATTGCCTGGGCTGGGTAAGTGGCACGCAACCATCTCAGTCAAAAGTAGAAAAAGAGGATAAAAGGGAAAAGTGATTCAGACCATCTGTTGATTAAACTCTTTGAGAACTGTTCATTATGTCTGTCTCTTAGTTACTTGGCATTAACTGTAATAAGTGTCCTCTGCAAGGGGACCCTGAATATTAAAGTTTAAATAATCTCCAAGTTAGAGGAAGTATTTTTCTCCTTGAAATATCATGTTGAGAAAATGAATCTACTGCTTCACAGTTTATGGGAATAATGCATGATTTATCTTGTTGCTTGCTTTTTCCCCAAGGGTACCCCCCTCCCCACAATCTCTTTATATTTATGGATTGGTTGAAAAACTGAGTATTGTGAAAACATGTAAAATATTTATTGTATGGAACTCTCTGTTTTTAAAACATTTAAAAGGACATAAGAGACACACATTTCATGGAAACTTTTCCAATCTCAGTGTCTCCTATTTGTCCTGGATACATAGAATAATTTCCTATTCCTAATTTTTTTCTCAAAACTTCCAAAGTTAAATTCAGAAAAAAGTCACCGAAGATGTTGATATATGTGAAGGCATGGTAGCATTTCATCTGCTAGCAAATATACAAAGTTGTGCTTAGTTAAAGGTTATTAGTCTAAACTTTTTTCCCTTATTTCTAGCTATGCCAGGATCTTAACTCCATATTCTAAATCTGTGCCTGCTATTATTGCCAAAGCTTCTGCAATTTACAATCCTATAATTTACGCTATCATTCACCCAAGTTACAGGTATAGTAAATGTACTCTAAAAACACTGATTTTATACTGAGATATGTTTGAAGTTGAAATCCACTATTGTTGATACTCACTGTTGTAATACATCTTCATTTAAATCACTTCACTTCTGTTTGGATACATATATTCTTAACAATTTAGCTAGTAACAATATCTCTTTGGTATGGATTTAAAAAAGGTGACCTTAAAATGTATTGGTTCCTTATCAAAAGGCAGTAAGTAGCTCAAGGCTGATCTTGTCTGGATTTATATGCTAAAGCAGGTTGGACCTGGCTAATACTTGAATGGGAGAGTTATCCTATAAATTTCAGGGCTGTAGACTAAACTTGGAAGTCAGAAAAATAACCAGGAAGAAGGAAACAGCAAACAGTTTCCATATTGCTGTCAAAAATCTACATGCATGGGGTCATGAAATCATGAGGATTCCAACTCAACTTTGTCCTTTTCCTTAGCAGGACAATGCTATAATGCATTGTCTTCTCCAAACTGATGCCCTCCAGATGTGTTGGAGTCAATGGTGGACAATAATTGGCATACTGTTTGCCATAGCTAGCAGAAGCAATGTTAATGGCATGGGGTAATGGTTATGGATCAGGACTTCTTGGTGGTATCCCACATTCTTTGGAACATGTATTCCCCCAAAATCTGTTCAGCCCCAATTGTTCTTGCATTCCACAAGCTAAATTGGCCCTAGCTGACCATTACAGGAATTTGGGATATCATGGTTTTTATTGCCTTTACTGATTATTTAATTTTTGTACGTATGCTTGCTGTTCACCACTAAGAATCTATTGGGATGAGGTAGCTAGTAAATATTGTTACATAAATAACTAAGTTTGCAGAACAAATAAACATTTGTATACTTTCTTAATCCGCAAGATTGGATAGCAAAATGGATTTACCTTTCACATCTTTTTGAAAAACATAGCAATATACTATTTCTACTTCATGCCTAGTCTTAAATTGTTGTTCCAGAAAGAATTTTTGCCTGCTTATCAAAGTCCTCTTTGTTATCAGCTAACAGAAAATTTCATGAAAATATATACACATTTAGCTTCCTATTGCTTTGCTGGTTCTGCTTGCCTAGGTGTCCTTGAAGAATTGAGCACATGATGCAGAATTATACAGACATTAAAAGAGAGATTAAAAGCATCTGCTAATATCAGCTGACAGCTCTTGAGTCCCAAGTTCATTGCTACATGCTGATTATGTTTGAACACTAAAAAAGAACTGTAGCACTTTGTAGGAAGATACATCATTTGTGTCTTTGTGTGTGTTCAAATAAATCTTAAGACTTCTGTATACACTTTGATTTTGACTTTTAAAATCTAGAGAGTCTTTATTAAGCATGACATAAGGGATTCTATTCAGCCTCAGATCTATTTAATTGCTGACAGGCATCAAGCTTATTTTGTTTACAATAAATTTATCTCTAGGATTAAGATTAAAATCATAAAAGCTTAACAGAATAGAAAAGAATACATATCCCATCACCCTGTTTTTTCCTGTCATTATCTTTAAAAACTAAACATTATCCTTATTTCATTATGACTTTAATTGTAATGGAAAATGAGGTGTTATTTCAGAATGTAACATCAAATATTCCTTTGAAGTACTGGTGTCCAGAAAGTATAATTCATCCATGGCTCAATTTTCTATTTAAATTTATTCTGATAAAAATTGAGAACATGAATGAGTGATAGACAAACAACTAACTTTATATGGTTAAATAAAAGACTGAGAATTTAGCTTAAGATTTTACATAAGCTGAAAGAATGAGGTGGATTAACAGTACTAAATTTCAAATTGTACTACCAAGCCAGCTGTCTAGCTTGGATCACAGACTGAATTATATCACCTTATGGCTGGGTTACTTCTACTGAGGGAACAGGACTCCTGTTTGCACAGATATGTTTGACTTGATACAAGTGGAAATGCATAGTTTATCAGAAAGTATTCAGTCACAAACTGCATATTACAAGTATGAGATAAACACAGAAGAAGAATCAGCCCAGACTAATTGCCCCTTACCTCAAAATTCAGTAATTACTTTCGTGAAGGTAAAAATACAAAAACATTTGATAAGTGGAGAGATAATTTGTACATATTGCAAGACCTAATTCTTGATACAACAAAAATGAAATCTTTAAAGATTATTTCTTCAGAATGGTCAAAATCACCTTATTTGGCTCAGTATCTCCAAATATTTATTTATTTATTTATTT